TTTTTCCATCTGTGTGGTGGAAACATTTCTCTGCAGAGGGACCTGATTTCACTTGGAGGCAGCCAGGCAGGTGAGGGTGAGCAGGCTGAAGCCGGTGGTCACCCCACCTGTAGTCAGGGGTCTGTCTTCCCTGTGGCATCCTCCTCAGAGGCCCCACCCTGCCCGTGGCTGTAAGTCACTTCAGCAGAGGTCAGAGGAAGAGACGCCTGTGAACCAACAAGCTGTCACCTGATTCCACATGCATGTGCATGCATGTACACACACACACACACACACAGATAAAATTTAAAAAATAAATTGAAAACAACCAGTGCAGCTGATGTTCTGTTTGCTCTGACTCCTCTGATTTTCTGTTGACTTGAGGAGAGGGTGATGTGGAGTGACTTCAGTCAGTGATGAGGGAAAGGGCTTAGGAAAGTCAGGTGAAGAGCCCAGGTCACATGATGTGTGACTTCGTGCCTACCACATAGAGCGTAACAGAAGGGCCAAGTTCAGATTCACACTGTGGAGTATTACCTAGCTGTTAAAAATGAAAGTCTGTGAGAGGTGGCTCGACTGGCCATCTAAAGGCACCTAGCACCAAGCCTGATGACCTGTCTGATCCTCAGGACCCACATGGTGGAAAGAAAGGGCCGACTCCTGCAGGCTGTCCTCTGATCTCCACACATATGCACACACACATACACATGTGTACATACACAATAAATACAAGCAATTACATGTCCAAATAATATAGAAATAATAATTCGAACAAAACAAAATATAAAAAAATGAGTGATACTCTGATACATTAGTAGAGAAAAAAGAATTGCAATGTGGGCTGGTAAGATGGCTCAGCAGTTAAGACCACTGAATGCTCTTCCTGAGGACCTGGGTTCGAGTCCCAGCACCCACATGCTGGCTAACTAACAACCATCTGTAACTCCAGTTCCAGGGATCTGATGCCTTCTTCTGACTCCGCGGGCACTGTAGGACACAGGTACGCTTACACACGCGCAGGCAGTACTCTCGACTTGCACTGTGCACAGCACGGCTGCATCGTGTAAAAGAGAAGCAGCTTACAGGGCTGAGGATACTGTGGGGTCAGAACGCATTTTCTCCAGGTGCTGGGGATCAAACCCAGGGCCTGTCTCATGCTAGGCAGGCAGTCTACTACTGAGTTACACTGTCAGCCTAATATTTCTTGATTCTTTTTTTGAAAATTATTTATTTTATGTACATGAGTATTTTGCCTGCATGTCTGTAAGTGCACCACATGTGTGTAGTGTCTGCAGAGGCCAGAAGAGGGTGTTGTGACCCTTGGAACAAACTGGAGTTATAGACAATTGTTAGCTGCCATTTGGGTGCTAGGAACCAAACCTGGATCCTCTGCAAGAGAGGCCAGTGCTCTTAACTGCTGAGCCATCTCTCCAGCCCCTATTTCTTCT